TGTAGGGGGTAGGGGTGGCAGAGGGGTGTTACTAAAATACAAGTCTGATCACCCCACTCCTGTACTGGGAATAGCTTCCAATGCCTGCACGGCCCTGGCTCTTGGGGTTGAATCCAAGCTCCCGATTTCCTTTCCCATCTTCACCTGCTGACATAGCTCCCATTGTCCTCAAGCCCCATCCAGAAAAGCCCTTTATCCTTCTAGGACTCAGGGGTTCACCCAGCCGACCCGGTCCTACAGCTTTATATGCTCTGCACATGCTGTGCCAGTCCCTTCTCTTTGCCCTCCTTGTGAACATTGGACCTAGGAGACTCAAGTCAAAAGTCTCCCTCCGCAAAGACCAAAAGCTAGAGACTCTTCTGTGCTCACACAGTTCTCTATTTTCTAAGCCCCAAATCACTCTGTGTTATACCTGTTTTGGGATATGTTTTCCTTACTTGTTTCTAGGTACCCACTTCCTAACACAGGGCTAGGTATACAGCAGGTGCTCTGTAAGCGCTGAGCGAATGAATGATTTGAATTGTTGTGTTACCAGGGTTCCCTCTATGCCAAGAAAGGTGTGTCCCTTGAGGCTAAGGTATGTAGGAGGCACTCTGTGGCTGGGGGAGGGGGCAGGTGACTCAAGGTAGGGAGCAGAGGGTGTTGGGGCAGACATTTGATCCATCAGCTCCTCCCAGGGAGGCTGGGGGCAGGTGAAGGGGAGACAGGCCCTGTCCTAATCCTCAGCCTCACTGGTGAGAGAAGAATGTGTCTCCTGGGGTCAACCTGGGCAATGGGGAGGCCAGGTCCCTGGGAAGACCATGCAACAGCTTCTTGCAAACATTCAGGCCAGCTGAAGTTCTCCTGCCAGGAAATCCTCAGGCAGAGGTAACTGTCACCTCTCCTCGAAACCTCGGCCAGGCAAACACACAGCCACTTCTGGCTCACACACACTGGAACTCCAGGGGTGGAGGTGGAGCCATAGCAGTGAGAGCTGAGTGGTGCAGATCTCTCTTCCTCTTCTTAAAATGCAGCAGGAGGGACCAGGACTTAGTTGTGCATTTGTCCTACAATTATTGCAGATATATCCAGTCTCACAGTCTCTCTCTTGCAGATGCAAGAATATGCTTAGAATTCATGGCACAGGTTCTCAAACCTGCATGTAGACCTATAATACCACATACACACATACCACGCGCCATAGCAGAAATCCTCGACTTGCTCACCTCTGAGGACAGAGAACTCACTCCCGCTGAAGGGCGCCCATTCCACTGGAGAACGGTTCTGGCTTTAGATCCAAATGTGCTTCCTGTCATTCCCCTTTAGCCCTAGCTTGCTTGCAGTTTCCCACAGAATCCTCTGCCTCCCTCTGTTCTCCAGACTCATCCCCCAGGTTACCCTGAATATTCCCAGGTATCCCCTGCCACCTGAGCTAGAGTGAGGTCCAAAAAGTCTAGAGACGATAGAGCCCTCTCCACCATCTGCTCCCCTGTCTCCACTCCAGAGTGGCAGACTGGTAAGGGCTCTAGAGAGAGCCACATGGCCAGTGAGGCAGTGGCCAATTGTGCAGAAGGTTTGCCTCTCTCCCCACTGGCCACAGCATCAGAGAGGCAAGGAACAGACACTGCCTACTCAGCCCACTGCAAGCTCTTCTGGAAATGAACATAGACCAAGGTTTGTGCTGCTGGGTTCTCTTTTATTAGCCAAATAGGACACAGGACAGGTCATAACATCACAGGAAGTAAAACGGACAAATACACAGACAAAGTGTCATGCTGCACTACGTAGGGGAAAGGGTGGAGGGGTGGTTTGAGTCTTGTTTTTCAACTAACAGAATAAATAAATACAGTACACAGTGCCACGGGCTGGCATGACCTCTAAGCACAAAGGATCACAAAACAGCTGGTTTGGAAAGCAGTCTGTACTACCCACCAGCTGTGGAGTTGGGGTGGGGACACAGAACCCCAGACCGTGCTCTGGGGAGGAGTGAGGAGTGAGGAAGCAGGGAAAGGGAGACCTCGAACAGGACGGACAGGCCAGGCATGAGGCCTTCCTGGAAGGGATAGTCAAAGCTTGAGCCCCAGGCTCTCGGCGCTCAGGGTGGCCCAGCAGTCCTGGGCCAGGCTCCAGCTTCCATGCCAGCTAAGGTGGGCCCACCCACACCCATACCCTCTGCCTCCTGAGAACATGTGTGGTGCTGCTTTCAAGTATACCTCCCCTGCTCTCTAGCTGCCCTTAGTCCCTGAAGCTAGTGCCCTAAAATGACTTGAGAGCTGCCCAAGGGCAGGGTCCACATACACCTTCCCTGCCTTCTCAGAGCTTATGTATTTGGGTCAATTGAATAATCTGAGGGAAGCTAGGCTGAGCCTAAGGTGGGCCTGGCTCCTCTCATTACAGAACACAACTCTAGAAGATCAACTCTAGAGCAACTCTTTGGAGGTCAGGGGAGGCTTTCTAGAGGAGGTGGTAATGTCTAGGGTTGGTGGATTCCAAAACCCAGTGACAGTCACTCACACCCAGGGACAGACAAAAAGCTTCAGCCTCCTGTGCCTGCTTCAGATAAGATTTTGTTTGTTTTAGAAACAGAACTTCCTGGGGGCTGATCCCAGAGGGTAGTTGCTACACCATGGGCCACAGAACCCTTCCTGAGCCAAACCCCTTCCAAGTCTCCTGGAGTCTTTGCCAACCTCCCAGGCTCCTGCCTGAGTCTCTCCTCCTCTGATGCCCCATGGCTGTTAGATTCACCTTCCAAATTCCAGACTCCAGCAAGACACCTGAGGGTTCTTGTTCAGTTGCCTGTCCTGGTACTTGCCATGTAGAGGTGAGGTCTTTGGGCTGGGTTCCAAGCTTCTCAGCCCTACTTCTCATGAAGTGAGCCATCCCCTTCCCCGTAGTCCACTTACTCTGGTCTCCATAGGTTTGTTCAAACACGTTTTCTGGCCCCAGCTATCATTCCCCTCATTTTTTTCCTGTCCAAAGCCTTCTGCATCTGTTCCAGCCCAGACTGACCCTCCAAGGATGAAGGACATTGATTGCTTGATCAAACCATCCTACCAGGGGACCAAGAAGACCTCTCTCTTCCTACTGGAAGTTTTCAGATCAACTTCTGGGCGGCGGGGGTTGGAATGTTCAGTGGTAAGCCACAAAGGGCTGGGGATCACGACCAGGAATCTGTCCAAGTGTTCCCCTCCCACTGCCCAGAGCCCCAGAGACCATGCAAAGGCATGGAAATGGGATGACCCCAGAGGCCAGCATTGAAACTCAAGAAAAGCAGTATCAAATACAGATTGTCAGAACTACAAGGGACCCATTATACTGATGGGGAAACCGAGGCGGTGTCCACAGAGAGGCTTGTGCATAAGATACCTCTTCATCCACAACAAGGCAATAGTAATTTTCTAATTCATTCATTCTGCTTCTGAGAGCTTTTTTGTCATGGTAGTTGTTGTTAATTTAACTAAAAACTTCTGTCCTACAAAGTTGTGAGCACAGAATGCAGACTATAGAGCTAAACAGTATCTGACAGGCCATCGAACCCAGATGGGGAAATGGGCCCAGAGAGGCTTTGGACTTGCCTGAGGACACACAGCTTTGAAAGGAAGTTGGCTGAGCTGGGTTTCCTGACCATAAACAGGAACACACCTTTCTGTGTCAGTGACTAGTTGAACAAAGGCTCTTATTTCAACAATTGCCTCTGGGAAGCCAACAGAAGCCTGCAACTATGTGCTGCTGTGTGGTCTGCATTCACCATGACTCGGAGCCAGAGTTCAGCCTTGATGCCTGGCTCAGATGCACTCCTGGGATGGACGGTACTTGCTGACCTGGAGGCTGCATGTGGGCAGGAGCCCTGATCCCTCAGAGGTACCTCTTCCCCTGCTGCCTCCCTCTGACCAGCAAAGTCTCACCAAGGAGAGCTCTAGAGCCCTGCGATCAGTACTGGGTGAACGCCGATGCCAGGCCTCTGTCCCTGAAGAATTTATAGGCAGGAACTCTGCATTCTATCGCCTGCCCTAGCCTGACTACTGCCTCCTCGATCTAGGGAACTGGGACCCCAACACTGAGAAGAGAGAAGAGAAAGTAACCCATGACTCCTTGAAGTCAGGCCTGGGGGAGTATGGGTGTGGGGGGGATGTGCCACCTCCTGCCTACAGCTCCAGAGCTATAGGGCTTCCAGCTACGGCCTTGTTGCCTCTAGACCATGGAAAGGAACAGGGGCCTGGAGCGGGTGCAGGCGGGGAGAGGAGACAGGCAAGCAGGGAAGATTTGGAGAGGGAAGAGGAGAGGATAGGAAGAAACAAAATTACTAAAACCAAAACAGCCACAACGCCAAACAAAACATAGCTTAGGAATTGACAACACCGACATACTCAGCACCAAAGAAACCAGGAGCAATGAGGAGAGTCGTGGGAGACCAAGGGCAGGAAAGGCAGAGCCTGGGCAGAGAGGGGGCCAGGACCAGACCCACGCAGAGAGAGGAAGATACGGAGAGGAGAGAAAGGGGATAGAGTCAGAGAGAGAGAGAGAGAAGACAAGGGTGGGGTGCGCTGCAGAAGCTGGAGGTGAAGGCAAGGGTGGCAGTGGAGAAGAGATGGGAACGGGGCAGGGGCCTGGGGCAGGCAGGTGCCTGAAAATATAGCTTTATATATTTATATTTATATCTCACATTCCACACATTGACTTACTAGGGGGCAGAAGGGGAGGGAAGGCAGGGAGGAGGCGCTATCAGAGGTGGGTAGGGATCTAGCCAGTGAGAGCCTCTGACCGCCCAAAGGGAAGCTGGGGCATCCCAGCCTCTGACCTCCTCCCCATTTGTCCTCCACGGGGTCCAAGCAGGGCCATGCAGAGGGTGTGTAGGTGTGGGCTTCCCCTTAGGCTGGAGTCTGGAGAAAGGGAGCAGGGAACAGGACCGGGGCTTAGGATCCCTGGGCTCACAGAGCTAACTCCTTGAGAGCCATCTGGGATAACCATGGGGTTGGGAGAGGGCACCCAAGACACCCAAGACCGGCTGGGTTGGAGGTCAATCAGTTGGGCAGTGTATCAAGTCCCAGGGAGGCTGCGTGCTGCTTGGCCCGGAGCCGCAGGTTCTCAATGCTTGTGGTTTTACTGTTCAGGGCAGCCGAGGCAGGTGCCAGGCCTGCTGGGGGCGCAGGCAGCAGTGGGGACCCCCACACACCCTGGTGGGCAGCAGCAGCTGCTGACAGGGACTGGTAGTAGGACTGGCAGTGCAGAGAGCCCAGCGGCGCCATGTTGACACCCAGGTAGGGCACAGCAGCGGCAGCAGCAGCTGCGGCGGCAGCGGGGGCTGGGCCCCCCACTTCAAAGGATGAGTAGTGCACCAGGTTGTTGGTGGCCGCCATGTGCTGGCGGAATTGCTCCTGCAGACGGAAGAGGCTCAGTGGGGACGAGGAGTAGGAATGGGAGGGGCTCAAGAGGCCGCCCCCTGGGGCTGCAGGCGCTATGGCCAGGCTGCCTGGGGAATCTGCAAACAGAGAACCAAGAACCAAGTACTTAGGACAAGGCTGTTGGGCTGCCAGGAGAGGCGCCCTCAGCCTTCCCACCCTTTTGGCAGAAAAGACAGCTTTGCATGAAAACATATCCACCCCATCTCAGCCAGGAGTCCTCTGAAGTGTTGCTCAAAGCCCTGTTTGGGAGAGACGCAGGCTTCCTGAGGCTCCCTGCCAAGCCATGTCTGTCCTTGGGGAGTCCCTCTCTCTTTCCAGGGGCTGTTACTTTGCCTTACTCCCTCTGTCCATGGCTCCCATCCTGTTCCTCCAGCTCTCAGCCATAATCCCTCCCCACCCATCTGCCTGGGCCTGGGTTTGCATCTGAGATACGGCTTTGCTTCTCTAGAAACACAGCTTCAGGGTGTCTCTGCTGCATGTGGCAATCTCTGGTACCGATATGGTATTCACTCGGTATGCACTGGTACATCAGGACCGATTGTTAAAATATTGGAGTATTCCCAAGTGGTTGATAAATAATTTTTTTTTTTTGAGACAGAGTCTCACTTCATCACCCTCAGTAGAATGCTGTGGTGTCACAGCTCACAGCAACCTCAAACTCTTAGGCTGAAGTGATGCTCTTGCCTCAGCCTCCTGATTAGCTGGGACTACAGGTGCCCACCATAACACGCAGCTATTTTTAGAGATGGGGTCTTGCTCTTGCTTAGGCTGGTCTCAAACTCCTGAGCTCAGGCAATCCACCCACCTCAGTCTCCCAGAGTGCTGTGATTATAGGTGAGAGCCACCTTGCCCAGCCAGATAAATAATTTTTACCCTGCCCTGGGCTCCCCAAGTACCCCTCCCCTGCCAGCCTCCCACGGAACCCAGGACACCTTTCCATGACTCAGCAACTCAAGGTTGAACAGTCCTTGCTAATTGGTGATGTTCCTGAGTGCCAGTTATTCTCCAACCCCTGCTCTGGCCCACCTCACATACCCAGGCCCCTGTCAGGCCCCAGCCTGCCCCAGCCTATTTCAAGGCTCACCTGCCTTGGGGCTGCCCCTCTTGCAGCCCAGACCCTTGCTCTCGGCCCCAGGGCTCTTCTCAGCTTTGGGGTCCTCAGCCCCTGCCCGAGGGTCCTCCTCACGGTCCAGCTGATCCTCTGGGGCTGACTCACTGGCAGACTGCTCGGACAGGCTCAGGTGAAGCTCAGCAGCAGGGTCACCACTGGGCAGACTGGAGGGCTGGTCAGTCTCCAGCTGGGTGTCTGGGGTTGGGGCTTCCGTCTTGCCTTCCCCATGGGAGCCCTCAGCCTCCTTCTGCTTCTGGAGCTGTTCTTTCTGCAGACTGCGCTGCTTCTTCCGGAACTTTGCCCTGCGGTTCTTGAACCACACCTGGGGACAGGAGAGAGGCAGTCAGAGGTGGAGAGGAAAGAAGGCTTGTTGTAGAGCAGTGTGCTCAGGGAAACGCTGTATATGGTAACATTGCCTCTCTCCTGCCCCAAGAAACACACACTCTCTCCCTTCCAACACTCCCCTTCTGTCATGGAAGGCTTTACTCCTTGGCACAGGAATGACATGTTGACTGCAGGATAAGGGGGGACTGGTGGGTGGGCTGGTGCTTGTCTTCAAGGCCTAGTTAAGGGAGCTGGGCCATACCTGCACCCGGGCCTCAGGAAGGTTGGTGCACATGGCCAGCCTCTCACGCATCACCACATCTGGGTAGTGAGTCTTCTGGAAGGTCTTTTCCAGGGCTTCGAGCTGCTGAGCTGTGAATGCTGTGCGGCTGCGACGCTGTTTGCGGTGCTGGGAACCATAGCGGGCCTCCAAGATGATGTCTTGAAATGTACAGCCGTTGGAGGGCAAGGAGAGGGGGCCCATTTAATTATGGGAAATAGGTTTGATTCTTATCCTTCTCTGACCTACTTTGGACACCCTGGCTGCTGCCAGAGCTGGCCTCTGGCCATTTGCCCTTGGAAATCACTCATTCCCTCTCCATATGGCTGGAGTTTTAAGATCTTTCTACCCCTTGATCCACTGTCAGGACTACAGAGGTCTCACTCAGCTTCATGAATGGCTATCAGGCATGTGACAGAAGGGATCATCGTTATTTGGCATTGAGAGTGGGTAGGTGGGTATTGCCCTGAGGTCTGTAAAGTCTCAGGATACTATAATATTCTAAGACTACAGGATACTAATGATCCTTAAGTCTATGTCGCAAAGATTCTAATACTCTATACCCCTCAGATGCTGGACACTACAACTTTTTTAGCATCAGAATCCTGACCCCTGACTATGAGAAGCCAGGCTGTGGGCTGGTTCTCATCTCAAGGCCCAGTTAGGGGAGGCAGAGAGAATTCACCAGTACTCTATTCTCTGTTCTCTACACATAAGTCTCATCATCCTAATTTTCCTACATGTCTCTTATGGCAGGACCTGAGGCTCTTGCTCTTATACCTCTTGAGCTGAAAGCCTGGCTCTGGCAGGGCCCAGAAAGTCTCAGGAAAGGCTTGTTGCACTCAGTCTTGACCCTATCAGCTGCCTCCTCAAGGACATGTCTGGTAACATGAAAGGCACTCAGGATAGTGTGGGCCTCAGGCTGGTATCCACCTGTAGCCCTTCTGCTTGACTAGTCCCTGCGGAGTGGTCAGTAACCTCACTCCACACTGCTTCCCATCACCTCGTTCAAGGATCCTGCCCTGTGTATGATGAAAGCAACCCATGTTCTCAGAGGTCTCAGCCTCTGCACAGGGCAGCCAGCATCCTTCCCCTGCACTCCAGGGATTGGGGAGTCACCTTAAATGGGAAGGAAGAGGCAACTGGGTATCTAGGAAGCCCCAGACTTTGGGATCCTCTTTCTTCAGTTTATTTATTTATTTATTTGAGACAGAGCCTCAAGCTGTCCCCCTGGGTAAAGTACTGTGGCATCACAGCTCACAGCAACCTCCAACTCCTGGGCTCAAGCGAGTCTCCTGCCTCTGCCTCCCAAGTAGCTGGGACCACAGGCGCCTACCACAATGCCTAGCTATTTTTTGGTTGCAGCTGTCATTGTTGTTTGGTGGGCCAGGCTGGATTCGAACCTGTCACCTTAGGTGTATGTGGCTGGTGCCTTAGCCACTTGAGCCACAGGCGCCGAGCCTTCTTTCTTCAGTTTAAAGAGGGAGCCCTGAACTTCTCATAAACTGGCCTTAATCCCAGCCCTGACTAAGCCCTGAGTTCATGCTAACTACCCTGGGGCAGGGGAAGAAGTGGGGGCCACTCAATCAGCCTCACACTGTTTAGGGGAGCAACAGCTCAGAGTCTACTGCTGGCTCCAAAGACTGCAAGCAGGAGTGGTTACGGGGAGGCCAAGTGCCCCATACCATGGGCAGAACCTCTGCTTGGAAGGCCCACCTGGAGCACCTGTCCTTTGGGGACTAGGCTGAACACCCCAGTTCCTCTATCCCCACCAGCAAACAAGCCACTATTCCTGACTGCTTCTCTCTGTGCTCTGGTCTTTGGGTTCATGAACATTGCTAGGAACTGATGGGGGATTCGCTCCAAACCAGGGAAGTAACCACAGCCAGATTAGGACCGCATGCCCCATCCCTACACTGAAGACTAACACCACACACTGATCTAGAGGAGCTACCCACTGAGTCCTGCCCAGAGGCCCAGTAGCATGTAAACGCGTGCTGGGACCGGCCACTCCCCATCTGTCAGGCTGGGTCCTCAGATCCCACCTCATCTCTGGACCTTGGCTCATGCTGGTCCCCACACCTTGCCATGCCTTTTTAAGGCCTGATTCCTGCCCTGTGGTCTGCAGAAAATCCTCCCTTATTAAAAAGGCTGATCCTGCTTCTCTGAGCTGCTCCACCATTTGACCCTGGCCACACTCCTCCTTCCATGCTGTCTTATGTGTCTGTGGGCACCTGCTCTTTCTAGGAGTTCCCTGAAGTCTTCTGAGGGCTGCCTGGCACAGGGCTGGGACCACATGGGTTTACCAAGTTGTCCTGGGTCAAGACAGAGTGAGTAGCATTATCTCCCAGGAAATCAAGCTCCCCACCTATGTCACCAAATCTTGCTTATACCCACCAAGGGTCTGGCAGAGCAAGACAATAATCAGATGACCCAAGAGTGGGGGGACCAGGCTACAGCTCCCTCATGGGTACTGACCTTGGACTTTGGGTAATTATGACTTCCAAGCACCTACAAGGCTCTGATGACTACTATTCATATATTACCTCAAATGACCTGCCAACCATCCTATGGGACAGGCCCGGCCGTTATGTCCTTTTTATAAAAGGGGAAACAGAGGCTCAGAGAAAAGAGAAGTGAATGGGCAGACCCTGCCCTGGTCACAACTCTATGACTTCAGAGTTCATATTTTTAGCTATAATGTCACTCCCACATAGATTCAATTTGTCTGTGCCTCAGTTCCCTTAAAATGTCCATTAAAGGAGATAATAGTCTCTCCTCATCAGGATTGAATGGTCTGATGTCTTGCACGGTGCCTGGCCCACAGCTGGTATTCAAAACAAGGGAGTCATTATAGTTATGACTGCCTGTGCTTGGAATCTCCTCCCCTGGGCATTCCAGGCTCCTTCCAGTTACTTCCCAGCTATAAAGGAACAGTCTCTTCCTCTCCTCAGTTTCTTCCTCTAATAGGACTAATGAATACCTTCCTCACAGCTTCCTGAGAAATTGAAGGCAGAGGGAAGCCAGTACCCAGAATAGTGCCGGCAAACAAGGGGTACTTGGGACATACGTTCATAGATGTCGAATTGACCTCTCTCTGTGTTTCTAAGTGACCTCAGTCTTTCTGAGCTGCCCAGAACAAGCTTAGCCAGTGCTCCCTCCTCTCTTTGCCTTTCAGAGCCTCCTCCCCCAGGCCACCCGGGCCACCTCTCCTCCCCAGGCCCCACAGTCCTGTCCCCATGGTCCCATCCCCAGGGCCCTTACCAGCCAGGCGCTCAGCTAGCGTGAGGGCGTGCACGGAAGGCCGGTAGTCAGGGGCATGCTGGGCTTGCTGGGCCGCCTGCTGGTGCAGGTTGTACATGGCGCTGAGCGAATTCATGGCGTGCAGGGAGTAGCCATTCACCCCATAGTGCTGCATGGTGGCATCCACCTGCTGATAGGGAAGAGAGGACATGGGGCAGGGCAGTCAGACTCTAATGTGGGGGGTACCCACCTGCCTATGGGGTGGTGGAAGCTCCTGCCATCAGGAAGTGGCCTGTCTCACTCATGACTTAGAGTGTGAGAGCTCCTGCTTCTATTCCTTCATTCACCCACTCACTCACTATAGGGTTTAAGGCTCTGGGCTCTCGAGTCGGACTGCCTGGGCTGGAATCTCTTTTTTTTTTTTTTTTTTAGACAGAGTCTCAAGCTGTCCCCCTGGGCAGAGTGCTATGGCATCACAGCTCACAGCAACCCCCAACTCCTGGGCTCAAGGGAGTCTCTTGCTTTTGCCTCCCAAGTAGCTGGGACCGCAGCCACCCTCTGCAACGCCCGGCTATTTTTTGGTTGCAGCCATCATTGTTGTTTGGTGGCCCCGGGCTGGATTCGAACCCACCACCTTAGGTGTATGTGGCTGGCACCTTAGCCACTTGAGCCACAGGCACCAAGCCGCTGGAATCTATTTCTCTCTCTCTCTTTTTAGTAGCAACGGGGTCTCACTCTTGTTCAAGCTGGTCTCTAACTCCTGAGCTCAAGCAATCCACCACCTCAGCCTCCCAGAGTGCTAAGATTATAGGTGTGAGCCACCTCGCCAGGCCTGGGCTAGAATCTCAGCTCCCCCACTGAGGAGTTTTGTGGCTTTGGGTTCATCACTTAACTCCTCCTCCTCAGTTTCTCCACCTGCAAAATAGAGTTAATAATAGTACCTATCTCTTGGGGTTGTTGCAAGGAGGAAGAGAGGTCTTTATAATAGGGCCTTGTTACAACATGTGCTCAAAGGTGTTAGTCACTGTGACTTACAAATCCAGTTGCTGCTGTGTGCAGTCATGTCTTCCTTAAATTGCCCAGACACCTCCCCATTTGTACACTCCTCAATTTACTCACACACTTATTATTTATTCAACAAAGATCCATTCAGGACCCCTGGAGCCAAGTCCAGAGCTGGATTCCCCATTGAGGCATTCACTATGATGAGATAATGGGTTCAAACCCTAAGGTCCTCCAAAGACATAAGAGCACTATTGCTATGGCTGTTAGATATTCACTGCCCTTACCTCCCTCTATTCTCACCATGCCTCCAAGAAGCTAGCAGGCCAAGAACAATGAACCCTATTTACAGATGAATCTACTGAGGCTTAGAGAAAGAACAGTGCCATGTTGAGATCACACAGCCAATCCAAGGCCCCACATTGCTGCTTCAATAGTCCTCAGCTGTGCACTCACTCTGCATCAACACGAAGTACCATTTTGGAATGTGACCCCATGTCTGCAGTCTCCCAAAGACACAAAGATATTTCCTATATACCAGGTGTGGAAGGAAGAAGGGGAAGGTTGTGGCAATGGCAGGTCCATTGGATGAGAGGAAGACATTTCCAGGTGTCTCAGTTCCCCACACTCACTGAAATTAACAGAAACTATTCTTAACCAAACATCCTCACAAACTCACAAGCACACACATTTCATACACAAATACATGTACGCAGACATTCTTGGCAAGGCAGTCACAAAAGCCATCCTGTTCACACACACAGATTCAACATCATTATCCCCACAGTTCCATATAAGGATATTCTTACAGGTATAAGCAGCAGACACATTTGTATATTACACATAATCATTTAACGAAATTTTCTTTTTTTTGAGACAGGGTCTCACTTTGTCACCCTGGGTGGAGTGCCATGGCCTTATAGCTCATAGCAACCTCAAACTCTTGGGCTCAAGCAATCCTCTTGCCTTAGCCTCCTGAATAGGTGGGATGACAGGCGTCCACCACAATGCACAGCTAATTTTTCCTATTTTTAGCAGAGACGAGGTCTCACTCTTGCTCAGGCTGGTCTCAAACTCCTGAGCTCAAGCAATCCACCTGCCTCAGCTTCCCAGAGTACTAGGATTACATGCATGAGCCACTGCGCCTGGCCTTCAACAGACATTTTTTAAGCACCCACCCACTAAATACCAAAGTCCCTAACTTCATGGAATTTACATTCCTGGATGGGGGGTGAGTATATAACAACAAATAAAAATATGTGTAATATGGCAGTGCCCATAGCTCAGTGAGTAGGGTGCCGACCACATACACTGAGGCTAGTGAGTTCGAACCCAGCCCAAGCTAGCTAAAATAACAATGACAACTGCAACAACAAAAAAAAGAAAATAGCCGGGCATTGTGGCAGGTGCCTGTAGTCCCAGCAACTTGGGAGGCTAAGGCAAGAGAATCACTTGATCCCAAGAGTTTGAGATTGCTGTGAGCTGTGACCCACGGCACCGTACCCAGGGCAACATAGTGAGACTTTGTCTCAAAAAAAAAAAAAAGAAAAGAAAAGAAAGAAAGACGTGTAATAATGTCAGACAAGAATAAGTGCTCTGAGAAAAATAAGGTAGGGAAGGAGAACTACAAGAGGGAAAGGACAGACCATGTTGGAATGTGTGGTTGGAAAGGGCTCTCTGGTACTTGAGCAGAAACTTGAAGTTAGTGAGGCTTTCTGGGCAGAAGGAGCAGCAAGAACAAAGGCCCTGAGGCATGAACAAGTTTTTGTATGTGGAATAGCAAGAAAATCAGGGTGGCTATAGCACAGAGGGAGGGAGTCGTGGAGGAGGTGAAGTTGGAGAGGAAGAGTTTAGATTTTATCCTAGATGTGATGGGAGCACCTGGAGGGTCTTAAACAGGGGGTGTAACATGGTATGATTTGTTTTAATTTATTATTTATTTATTTATTTATTTATTTTTGAGACAGAGTCACATTATGTTGCCCTTGGGTATAATGCCATGGCATCATAGCTCACAGCAACCTCAAACTCTTGGGCTTAAGCAATTCTCTTGCCTCAGCCTCCCAGTAGCTGGGACTATAGGCACCCACCACAATGCATGGCTATTTTGTTGTTGTTGTTGTTGAATTTGTCATTGTTGTTTAGCAGGCCCAGGCCAGGTTCAAACCCACCAGCCCCGGTTTGTGTGGCTGGTGCCCTAACCACTTAGCTACAGGTGCTGAGCATATGATTTGCTTTTAAAAGCTCATTTTGAGAGACGCCTGTAGCTCAGTGGTTAGGGCGCCAGCCACATGCACAGGGGCCAGTGGGTTTGAAGCTGGCCCAGGCCTGCTAAACAAACAAACAAACAACAACAACAACAAAAGAAATAGCTGGGCATTGTGGGCCCAGCTACTAGGGAGGCTGAAGCAAGAGAATCGCTTGAGTCCAAGAGTTTGGGGTTTCTGTGAGCTATGACACAACAGTACTCTACAGAGGGAGACAAAGTGAGATTCTGTCCCAAAAATAAATAAATAAATATATAAATACTCATTTTGTCTGCAACAGACAAAATTCTACAGAGAACAGACTGCAGAGGGGCAAGAAGAAAAGCAGCGCCCAGGCTGGTGACCGCACTGCCTTCACTAGGCCAGGAGGAGGCAGTGAGAAGAGGCCAGATTCTAGACACAGTGTGAAAGTAGAATCAGCATGATTGCTATTAAGCTCGTTATAAGATGTGAGCAAAAGAGGGCTAAAAAAGGATAACTTGAGTTGTTGGCTTGAGCAGCAGAGTGGAGATGAGCAGAGCATTGGGTTGGAGAAGCAGGTCTAGGGAGGGAGAGAATGGAAAGATTCTTGCCTCTGGGGACATAGCAAGAGTGAAATATAAATGCAACGTCCAAGTATGAGTTTTGAACTGCCAATTAGATATAGGAGTCTAGAGCTGAGGGCTAGATTTATAGATTTCTGAGTCACCGGTTTACAGAAGCTCACTCTATGCAAAACAACCATGACCCCAAGGGCAGAAATCTAAGAGAAAAAAATGATAGACATGGTGATAAAAAGTGTTAAACATCAATGTAGCACAAGACCATAAAGAGAAAAGGCTGACGGCAAATATGAAAAACTATCACATACTATATGGGACATAGCAAAATTGATTTAAAAAAAGAAATAGCACAAATAAAGGTAAAAATAGAAGGTAGGTATGATGGCATGCGCCTGTAGCCCCAGCTACTCAGGAGGCTGCGGCAGGAAGATCTCACTTGAACCCAGGAGACCAGCCTGGGCAGCAAAGCAAGATGCGTCTCATCAAAAAAAATGATCACTTTAGTAAAAGATGGCCTAAGTAAATAAAGAAACAACTCATTAAGGAAGAAACACAATAGCCCACTGACACAAAAAGGTAGCCCTTTTGACAAAAGCTCAACTTATACCCAAAGAATTAAAAAGAGAAACAATAAAAATATCATTTTTTACCAAGCAGATTAGCAAATATGAAGAAAAATTATTACCCAGGGAGATCAAGGGAAGTGGGGAAGTCCTTCCTCCTACTTCATTGATGAAAGAGCTCTTTATTGTCTTGCATCAAAAGCATTTAGAAACTAGCATCGTCTTTGGCTTAACAATTTCATTTCTCGAAATTTACCCTTCAAGTGCAAAGATATGTGTACACATTTATCACAGCACTGCTTATGAAGGCAAAGAACTGGAGACCTACCTGTCCATCGAGAGAGGATTATTAGTTCAGTAAATGAGGGGACAGGCGTGCCCTGTCACAGTGTACAGTGTCACAGTTTAAAACAATGATGCGGTGTCTGTATTGCTGATGTTCACAACATATTGTTGAGTGAAAGAAATAGGAAACAGTATGCATGATGTGATCCCATTTTTGTAATGTATGTATAAATATGCATGGAGAAAAAGTCTGGAAGGCTATATCCCGAAATGTTAACAGAGGTTATCTCTGGGAGCTAGCAGAAGGGATCACAGGTGATTTTCACATTTATATTCTTTCCTTCTTTGGGGGAAGGGAGTGTTGAGAAAGAGGTATCCAATGGATGTGGGAAATGGATGTGGAGCCAGGCTCCAAAAGGCAGTCACAAGCTCCAGGTGGGGAAGGGAGAACAGCGTTGAAAAGTAACTTTATCCTTTTCCTCCCCAACCCCTGAGGCTGGAATGTCCCCCACCCTT